AGACTAACTGTTTCCCAGTCTAACGTCAGCTATAGTTAGGTTGGTTGCTCTGCATTCTCATTGATCACATGATATGTGCTTTGGCCAGCAGATGGCAATGTGAATTAACAATTACCAGGATACCAGACTTTAAATTTGTTGTGGTAGAGTTAGACTGGTCACCATGTTCACCGTTTTATAGATCACATTTAGGCAACCCAGACCTTGTAGAAAAGGGTTTTTGTGGCCTGTTAATGCATTTGGTAGGTTACAGGTGATTCAATTTGCAAATAAATTAACCTACTTTACCCCCATCTCTATAAAAATGACAAACCTATCAAGGAATATGTGCCTCCTAAACTATTCATTATGTCTGACACCTAAATTAGCCTTTGTAACCCACCCATAGTAGCTGTATGGGCAATGTTCTGTCTCATAGTATCTATGTTTGTCCATACTTGCAAATTAGGACTAAAATACAAGATATCAGACAAATGCATCTTGATAATTCTGCTTCTTTCCCTCTCCCATATTGAGTTTGTTTGCACAGATGGACTCTTTCAGATTCCAAGACTAAGAGAAGCAGTTCTGGACTGAGATAGTGCACAGACTGTACTTGAATGTCAGCAGGACATTCAGTATCTGTAAATTTAAGTTTCCCCAGTTGAAACACACAATGAAAATAATATGTTAACAGCTTCATATGGCAATGCATGTGTGATTTGTTGAAGTGCAATACAACCAATTATACAATAAATATGAAGTCGATAAAACTGCATCCATATAGTGCCTCTCCACAGCAGACATTTTGACTTTTTATGGGTGGAAAACACAGGTGATACCAATAACAATGATGGATTCATTCTGTTTAAATGTCCCGGTAAGCCAAAACATTGAGTCAACATGCACAATACCTTTCATTTTCAGCTTTCATTTTGTTATTTACACAGTATCTGTGCTTTTCTTACTGAGAAATGTCAAAATGCTGTCAGTGAGAAAGGCCTATAATAGCTGAACAGCATGGTTTGCCCATATCTGAAATCAAGAAGAGCCATATCAGTCCATGATAAAATAATCCTAACTTGTTACATTAATTTTCATCATTAAAAAAGATAAATTTGAACGAAGCACAGTATCTATATTTTATGCAGGATATTTAGATGTTTTTCAAACTGTCCCTGTTTTTAAAGTTAAATATCTTAAATATAATAAACAGTTATGACAAAAAAATGTAATAATGTTTTATGTTAAATGAAAAAAACTGTTAGTTTTCCAGCTTTTGGAGCAAAAATAATCATTATCCATTGTTCACTCCCTTCAGAAAAGCATCTGTCACATGAATGCAGAACTCCATTAGCAATTTGTCCTGTTTTTGTTTATGGTTATCCTGTATTTTTTGTTCAATCTAAATCCTGCCTTAACAAAGTAGTTGCCTATCCGAACCTCTTTCTTACCTTTTGCTCTTGTATGCATTTGTACGTGCACAGGCTTGAGTGTACTTGTGTCTGTGTGTCTTCCTGTAAAATGAGGGGAGGCAGAACTTTCCTTTCTGTTGCCTCCATGTCTCCACTGCCCCACAGTCACAGAAATCACTGGTTGTAGCAGGACAGATTGTTCATGAATTTTGAATCGCTCCTTTTGGCTTTTATGAATTAGAAATAGTCTTTGCCACAAGTCGTGCGAGCGAGTGCCATGGTGGATAGCTTGGAGGGATTGCCATGCAAAGTGGCAAACAGGGTACAGCCATGTAAGGGCAGGGTAGATAAACATATGCTGTGTTTGATCAGACCCAAAACATATTTTAGCATAAAGGATGTGGCGTCCATTATGTCTCGTTGAATCGTAGCCATAACTGTAGGGTGAAGTGCGTCGTACAGTATGCGCCTTGCAGGAAACACACAGACGGGATAAGCAGAATGGATAGGTCTGAGGAATAATAATAATCAATGCACAACAAAGGAGGAGACGCACTGTCTGATTCCTGCGATATAATGTATCAGCCAAAGTGCACCTCCTTTGTCAGAGGAATACACAAGTCTGCAATTGTTCAACAATTACTTATTTATCTTAATATGTCTGCCATAGGCCTTTGTGTCAGGAAATGTTCAGGCTCACTGAGGGTGTTCACTTCAGTTCATCTGTTCCTGAACAACAACATAAGTGAAGTAGGGTGACGTCAAAGAAGCTCATACAACATGAACAGCAGTTCTTTAAAAACAAGTGTTGTAGCTCTGAGTCTCTTAAAGGATATCCAAAGCCTGATGTATCTTATTCCTCTGTGCCATAGACCTCCATTGTTGTCCAGAACTTATTAAATATACATCAACGAGCCACACATTCCCACATTACTATAAACACTGTAATGTAAGGCAGCAGCTTATTTCGAGTACAACATGTACTGTCCTGCTGCTGCAAATAACCACCAGGACGCCAAATCCAGGGCTGAAAACAGTCTCCAACATTGTTTACTTCTGTTTGACTCATGTTCATAGGATATTATTAAGCCTTTAGAAACTATATATCTGTGACCTCTCAGGTTTTGGTATTTTTGTGGGGTTTGTTGACAATAACAAAATTTTAGGATATCGGCAGGCTCATGGCCGGATTAAGCTGCTTGGAGGCCCCAGGGCAAATAGGAGCTGCTGGGCCCTCTGCTTGCTTTCACTGTTTGTTGCTCAGTTTTTTTTTCCTGTCTGCAGTGTGTGGATCTGAAGGCTTGATGTGCCCCATGCAGAAAGACCAGTTGAAATCCCCTATTCTCTCACATGGTTTTAGCTTTATAGCTTTTGTTGTCTTACCTATTGCAATACAACACCTATGCTGCTTACTCCTATCCATTCATTTTCTACACTACTGATATTACAGTTTCCCTCTGATTAATTTGTTGTAACAGGCTGGTTATGACAGTATAGGCATAAACAAAGGTCTTTAAATCAGATTTTCACACACAGACATTCTTTAACACTCAAGAGCAGGTCCTTGTCACGTCAGTTAATATTGTGCTTCTGTGCTGCATAATTCCACACAAGGTTTCAGTTAATTTAGCACAAACCAATCGACATAGAGTAAATCTGGAGCTTTTGGGGCCCCTGGAGTGCTGGGGCCATTATGGGTCATTATGTTTAGGAAGACGGATTCCTTGATAATGGATTTTATATGGAATTGAGCAATTCTGAGACAGATTTCACTTCCTCCGATACCAGGAATCAGAATACTCACTGCATCTGTTTCATTTTTGATTAATTAGTTAACTTTTTTCAATTATTTTGATGCAATTAAAATGGATTCGGTAATTATGGGCTGTGTGGTTTTGTGGCAAGCAAGTAAGTGTTTCTGTGAATTAAATAAGATGCTGTAATTCTCTTGTAATTCTTTAATTTGAAACAATAGAGAACACTGCTTTCATGATATCCAGTCTGTATTACAAACACAAGAATGACTGAAAATGATATGTTGTGTTTAAAGATTGAATTAAATACAGACATCTGAAGTTTAGTTCACAAAAAAGGAAAAGAAAAACATGTTTTAAGAATGATTGAGAGCAGATTGACTTGTACTGTAAGAATGAAGAAAGAAAGAATGAAGTGAAAGTCTGAATTAGCAGTCAGATCCTCCCATAGGTGACACAGGCGGCTGCAAAAAATGGTTTAAAAATCAAATATAAGGGGAAAATGGTTGGTCTGTAGGGAAACGAACCTTTAGTCCATCTAGTTCATCAGTGAGTGGTCTTCACAGTCAGAACATGCTGCAGCATTTATGGTTATGGCGGAGTGGAGTGTATTTGAGAAGCATTAGTTTATCATATTAATATATAGTATAGTAATAGTTTGTTATTTATTGTTGTTTGTTAGCTAAGTTGTTGTACTTGTTTGTAATGAATGCAATAAATCTAAAAGATAATAATAATCAGATAATAAGTGCAGGGTGTTTGGGGGCGTCTTTGTCATGAGCATTGACTGGTCTTTAACATATTTGCTGAATCACCAACCACATGTGAATAAGCTCTGCATGGAGAGGCACTTTGGACCTTTGAGATCCTTTATTATTTGTTTTTGAGCTTTATTCAATTCACCGCTGGCAAGAAACAAGGTTCCCACCAAATTCCACAGAGCTAAAAACGCTCCCCTTCGCTCTCCCTTTCACTTTCTCTCACACTCTCTGATTCTCCCTCTCTCACTTCCCAGGAAAGCATGAATATGTTCCAATATGTTTCACAGTAAATATAAATGATTTTTAATTCTCTGATACGTTAAACCTGAAAAAAGCTGTGGTGCAACCAAAGTTTTGAGCAATTCTGTATTTCTTCAGGGTTACTGGAACCTGTCTGTGGCATGATTTCATATGAGGATTATGGAGCAGTTTCATAAAGTTTATGACCTGGCTGAGACTTCAACCCAGTGAAATAAATAACAGACCAACATCCGATAAAGCCGCGACTGCTGCAGTGCTCTGTTGGTCTTGGGTGTTTTTCAACTTTGCGTATGGGATCACACTGCTCTGGTAACTGTCTCTTTTTGAGAGGTATAGAGGGCGTAATCCTGTGTTAATGAGACTTTTGGTCGACGCTGAATTGTGGGAAGTTGCCACAGACTCAGTCGGGATACAACTAGTGCTTTATTTAATGGGAAAAAAAGGCTTGTGACATTAAAGTTTTCAGCAAATTCTTATTATATACGACCATTATGACAATGTTTACATGAGAATTATATACAATCCTGCCATGTCAGAGCTAATATATGACTAAAGCACAGATAAGTAACGGTCAAACTTTGCTTTCCTTTATCCTCTTTTGGCAACACAGATGAGAAGTGATTTTTGTGTATCAGATTCCCACCATCCGAGCTGTTCACATCCTCTCCGCTGACAATAGCAACCCTAAGGGCTCAGTTGCCAAGCAGGTCACAGTGTGCTTCAAATCACTCCCAGACGCCTCTTTCTCACAGACGCAGATGAAAAACAGAAGGGGCCCCCTCGGACTTCCCGGAGAAACCAATATTAGCACAATAGTGAAATAAACCTTCTTACAGTGGAGATGGAAATTGATTTATTGGTTTAAGCAGCAGCAGCATCAACGACAACAAACAGTATATGGATTCCATTATGAATTGCTCTGATGGATAGTGGTAAAGTAAAACTGTACAGATATCAGCCTGTTGTTCTGTACACAAGTGTGCAAAACACTCCAACTAAAGAAGTGCAAGTAATTATACACACACGCACACACACACATACATGCTACCAAACAGTCACACACACACACAGGTTTACATCTATTCACATATAAAATAGTATAAGGCGGTGTAGTTTTTGGTAGCTTAATATGATTTTAACAGAGAAAGAATAGTCTGACATTTTGAGAAATGGACTCATTCACATTCTTGGCGAGAGTTAGATGAGAAAATTGACGCCACTCTCTTGTTTGCTTGATAAATGTACAGCCAGCAGCCAGTTAGCTTATCTTAGCTTAAAGACTGAAACAGGGGGCAGCAGCTTGGCTCTGTCTGAAGGCAACACAATCTACCTGTCAGCAGCTCTAAAGCTCATTAATTTACATGTTATCTATCTAGTTTGTTTTTTTAGCTACAGTCATTTCCGCAGCCTGTTAGCTGTTCGTAGGGTCGCAAACTGTGCTGTAAAATATTGAGAACTGAAAGACACATTTTGTATTGAGCTGATACGAGATATATTCAGCAGGTGGAAATATTGTCATTACATTGATTTTGTTGTTTTAGGTAGTGGTACTAAGTCTCTTCACTGAGAAAAACATGTCCTCAAACCAGGTCTGAAACAACTCCTACAACCAACAGCACAACGTGAAGCATGTGGAGATAAACCCTACCTCGGCTGCAGGGGATGGCTGGAGCTCTGCAATGGCTAAACAACCCAAACTGGATTTTAATCGTGGACAGCTGCCGGCTACAAACGACAAAGAGCTAATGAACTTTGTAACTGGATATGCAGTGGATGAAATGTTGGCTATCTCCACAACTGACTCAGACAAATCATTGGGGAAGAAAATCGCAGACAACGAAAGATCCTCAGATAAAAAAATGTTTTTGAAAGCTTTCTAGACTTAGCTGGACTTTACCCTGATATTTACAAAGGCACACATGCTAAGTCTGAATTTTGAGGAGAAAGGATTTTGTGGGATGTGAGAGAAAGGTAATATAACGAGTAGTGCAACAACTTACTGTGGGACAAGTCCAACATTGGCTGCCACTCATGAGTGACAGCATTACCACAATACACCTGACATTGGCACAACAATTAAAAAATGCCAACTATAAGCACAGTGAGCCGGGCAAAAAAGAAAAGGCTACAGAACTATCATTCTTTATCACCATTTCAGGATGCTGGCAACCCTAACTGCTGGCTAACAAGCAAAACCTAAAAATTGTTACTCTAGCATTTTGGTTTTGTGGTGGATGACATGTTGCCTCCATGACTCTCTTGATCTTTCAGATCGATCACTGGGGAATCAATCAATCTTTTGAAAGCTATCTAGCCTTAGCTGCACTTTGCCCTGACATTTACACAAGTGCTAATGCCAAGCCTGAATTTTGAGGAGAAAGGATGATACTACCAATTTAGTGGGGTGTAACAGAAACGTAATATAACAAGTCTTTACGATGGGCAGACACTAATAAGTTAAGTAATAATACTACTTTTGTAAAGAGAGTCCAACACTGGCTGCCACTCATGAGTGACAGCATTACTATGATATGCCTGACAGCAACGCAACATGTGAAAAATGTCAGCCTATGAGCATCATGAGCAGGGAAAACCTAAAAACTGTCACTCTAGCACTTTGATACAGATTAAACTAACTTTAAAGAGCATGTTAATTAGTGAGCTTTAAAAGTGCTAGCAGGAGGATCTTGTCATCTTCAGACTGAGCCAGGCTGGCTGTTTCAACCGTTTCCAGCCTTCACTCTAAACCAAACTAACAATCTATGGCTGTATCCAAATATTCATTGTGCGTATATTTATTGTGGTGTCAGTTTGCTCATCTAATTCTCGGCAAGAAAGCCAATCAGGGTGTTTTCCAATATGTGAAACTACTCCTTCAATATTTGGAGCTTTTATCACCGCCATTAAAAACTCATTTGCCTATGTCATTACACAAGTAATGTTGTCTGAATAAAATACTTTAATATAACTGCAATATAACACTTTATAAAAGTGGACACTATAGGCCTACATACTGAATATATTCCACTGGTTATACAAGTTGATTATATCTGTTGAAATTCACAGTGTTTAAAAAAAATCAAATTCACGTCCATTTTGGTGACCTACCGTAATGCATTACCTCATATTTATCATTTGTTTGACATGTATGTAAATACAGAGTTATACCTTATCAGCTTTAAAACCTACAACACTGTACTTGGTTTTGTGCCAGTGTATTTTGGCTTATTCTGGCACTGGATGTGATTCTGTTATGAAATCTGTCATTTTTGGATTACTAACCAGAAGTTTGGCAGTATGTGGATCATGATTATCTTAAGCAGACCTTAAGGTTTTTTAAATTTAGGATGCATTTTATTGTTTAAACACATTTTCCCTCTTTTCCTACTAAATTAGAAAAAGAAAAAACTCCAAAACATTCTTCTTATTATACCACAAAGTAGCTTAATGAATAATGAGTGTGAGTAAAATACACTGTGCAACCACCCGCATGTTTAATGGAGAATGAATTGTTGTCTGCAGTCAGTAACATGCTTTCCTGTTTTCCACCGTCAATGAGCAGCAAACTCCTGGGGACGACGCATACTCATCTCCCATCATTCCCTCTGACAGCGAGCTGTCTACTTTTTCCTTCCTGCAGCTTCGTGCATCCTTCCCAGTAGTGCTGCCCTTTACAGGAATAGCACGCTCTCCTACTTATTGAGAGTAATTTATAGTCACCGCTCAGCTGCATCCTGTAGAAAAGAGTCCTCCTCCTCCTCATCCCGCCCTCCCCCTTCTTCTCTCACGCTACAGTGTCACTGTCCATGGGTGTGGGAATACAAGGAGTTTGTCTTAGGAAGTTTAGCCCACTGAGAGGCTTGGTAAACTTCAGAGCGTTGTGTGCCAAATCTATTGTTTGTTCCTTTTATCTCCAGTTCCTGATCCATCCCTGCCAGGCTCGTTTGTTGCTTCAGTGGTCCTAAGGATGTGCATATTGTCTGAAGTACTTTTTGATGTATATATTTTAGGATGAGTGCTGGTTGTATTTTAAAAGCTGCTGGGTATATGGGAGAGCTTGAAAATAGTCCTCAGGTGAGAGATCAGTCGCTGTCTTTCCTCATGCTGCGATCAGTGTGGACGTTGTTGGGCTCGGGGCTCTTACACTGGATACTGGTACCATTCATGGGTCCGATGCTGCTCAGCTGGTTGTCAGAGTAACACCAGCAGCACAAACACGACTTGAAGAACATATGAAGAAAGAGAGAACATTTTACAGGAACAATATTGGGAAATACACTTAGAGAGGGTTAGATGGAAAGATTGATATCTGTGTCATATTTCTCAGTTTAATGTGAAGCTGGAGCCAGGAGATGGTGCTTAGCATAAAGACTGAAATCAGGGGGAAAGTGCTCGCTTAGCTGTGTCTTTAGTACTTCTAAAACTGACTAATTAAAATATTAGATGTCATTTGTGAATTCAATACAAAAGCTGAAGCCAACATGTAAAATTCCGCTTCTATACAGAGATATTTCTTGATCAAGAGCAGTGACTTCCAGTCTTTATGCAAAACTAAAGCTTCATTTCCACACAGTTTTGTTTTGTTTTGCTGACGTGGGAGTTAGTATTGCCCAGGAGACCTGGATACAGAATTAGACCCACGACTCTGTTCATTCCTATGAAAGCTGCTCATTGGTGCATGAAGCCAGAAACATTCAACTGCCTCATATAAAATTACCAAGATGATCAGCACAGCTTCAGTATTTGGGCCCATATCGCAAATGCACAAGAGACTTCCGCTGGCCAAGATGGCTACCTCTGGTTTAGTGCTCTACTAACTTCAGTTGGGATAAAAGGATGTATATATACAGTATATATATATATACAGTACAGGCCAAAAGTTTGGACACACCTTCTCATTCAATGCGTTTTCTTTATTTTCATGACTATTTACATTGTAGATTCTCACTGAAGGCATCAAAACTATGAATGAACACATGTGGAGTTATGTACTTAACAAAAAAAGGTGAAATAACTGAAAACATGTTTTATATTCTAGTTTCTTCAAAATAGCCACCCTTTGCTCTGATTACTGCTTTGCACACTCTTGGCATTCTCTCCATGAGCTTCAAGAGGTAGTCACCTGAAATGGTTT